GAAGCCATGTGTGAAAAACTAAGTACACCTTATGATTCAATAGCTTGTAGAACCACCTTTACCAGCAATAACTTGAAGTAATCATTTTCTGTATGATTATGTCCTGATACATAACACCATAGAACTCAAAGAGGGTGTACTTTCTTTTTCACACGACTGTAGATTTTTCTAGTCCACTGCAGTAATTTCAAATTAGGAGAGTTGCCTATCCTAGTTCTGCCAGATCAATACCTTTAAGTTTGTGCCAGAACATAAATCCTGACTTAAACACCTGAGATAATACACTTCCTCTGGGGCCTTTTGGAGTTGCATTTCCACTATCTTCTCCACAACCTTCCCTAGAAAGATAATATTGGAAACAGGATGACAAATTTCCAGCACTGCTGGGTCCAAAGATGGCTTCTTGAGGAAGGAATATACCATTGCCTCCCTCAAGGCAGGTTGGATCATCCCCTTACTCCAAGTCAGTGGCAGGAATCTTTCCCTTTGCAAAGTTTATATGGCCCTTCATCTTCTCCACTGCACTTTCTTTATCTTCTGGGAGGCTTCTTAGTGCTGTGTCGCACATCAAGCACTTCCTAGGTCCAATTTCTTCCTTCTCTCTCTCTCATAATGGTCATCTCCTAGGTCCAATTTCTTCCTTCTCTCTCATAATGGTCATCTCATCTATGTGATGGTGGATGACCATTATGTCTAAATTATAAAGTTCTACAAACATCCACATAAATCAACTTGGTACTGGTCTCCCAAATAGAATAAACACATAGCATGATTGTCTACGAAGGCAGTTTTATTCCCATAGTTGGAAAATTTGAAAAAGAAGACTAAAACCATAGGCTTCTACATAGCCAAAAATGTGCTATTTTGGGGGCGGGGTAGGGTAAATAATAGAAAAATAAAAATTCAGCAACAGCATGAATCACAAATAACACTTTGCATGAAGTTATCAGAGTAACTGGAACTGGAGGAATTTTGATGGGCCAATGCTATGCAAGGCTCCCACTTAACTCAGATAAAGAATGTTCTGGAAAGTTACTCGGTGTAGACACAGCTTATCAGTATATGATGTACAGTTATACAATAACTGACCACTTTATTCCTTGTGATGCTGGAACTACCATATTAAATAAGTTATAAATTGTTCATAGATGTCTGAATGAGTTTAATTTATCTATGTTATTTGTAAATGTTGGATGATGCCTGAAATTATTTTTGGAAAGATTCCCAGAACTGCTCCATGAATTAGAATTGTTTTAGAATTGTTCCTCTAAAAAAAGAGTTGCTATTTTTAGAAGACAGTTAGTATAGCAGAAAAACAAATGTTTTCAATGTGAAATGCGTATTAAGGACTAAGAAACAAGATACCTTTTCAAACAACATGTATTTAGATGCAATATCTTTCTCTGAAAATAAGTGTTTACCTTCTTCATCAGCAAATTGATAATATGAATCACTTTTAAAATTTAGATCTCTTTGGCACGGTACGTCATACTTGCCCCATGCTCATTTCTTTATCCTAGCCTTTAATCCTTTAGGAGGAAATCTTAAGGTTTTCTATAACATATACAATGTCTGTCAACCCTTTTTGCTCCTGGACCAGGTAGCTAAATTTTCTTTCTCTTTTCTTCAAAACTCTACTGCCACAAAATTACTGTTGCCTCACTATCTAAAATCCTATTCATTATATACCCAAATACTTTGGATATGCAGTGCACATGTATGCATATGTGGTACAAGAACACTACTATCTCCAATATAGGGGCAAACAAGAAGAGAGAGAGAGAAGGATAAAAATTAAAACTGGCAATAGGAGAGCAACTCTTGTAGTGAGTGACAGTGCCACTGATCTGTGGGCTTTGCAGTGTGGCACACTGATTTAACTCAAACTTATTCTTCAGATAATTACTCATCTAATCTTACTAGTATTCCCAAGGGTAAAAGTATCATGAGTTCCCTTGCTTCCAGACTTGTGCCCAGCTTGATATTAAAAATACTTTATTAAATTATGAATCATACTGTGTGGAATAGAAGCACTCTAAATTAGTCTTAACGCTTATCAGAATTAACATCAGCATTTCCTAGCACATTTACATGTTTCAAAGCAGTAACTACACGACATAACAGACTCAGGAAAGTGATGTGAAACTACAATTCTATTTTATCACATGTATGAAGGAAATGTCAAGCTTTTTATTTTTTTACCTTAACATCTACACCAGGAATGTAAAATACTGTTGTTTCCAGGTCACTAGACTTTGTTTGGAGAGATGCTGGTACTTTCTTTCCAGCCAGTAAATGGGTAGTTGATGCATAGTTAGTTTGAAATTTCTTTTTTTTAGAGGGAGATTCTTGATCTAAACTTCGGGAACTGCGATCATAGGTCCTAAAAGGTAAATATCAATACACAGCAGTTATTTAATTAATATAAACATAAATGTAACATTATGTTATTTCTAAAGCTCGGAATGGTAATTGTTAATATAGTTAAGCTCCAGAAATACTTGGCATGATTTGATTAGGTTCTAGTTTACATTTGGCTCAAGGTTCTCAGACACACAGCACAGCAGGCAATAATCTTTATTTTAACTAGGAAGAAGCCACTAAAACATTAGATAGTCCTCTATCAACAGTGCAATTCATTTTTAATATACACTTTTCTTTAATACCAACACTCCTTTCTCCCACACTTCCCACTGTCTAATGGACTTTTTGGTCTGCATTTTTCAGCCTTGAAGCTGGGCAGCTGTTGTTGATATAACTGACATCCTTGCCCTGAGAAACTCACTCAACTTTCACAAAATAATGGAAGTCTGAGCTGTCTGTATGATTCAATGTTTTTAGCTGTATGTTTGCCCTAGTTTTATACGCCACCCAGAGTCCACTGGAATTGGGCGGCCAATAC